TACCACTTGAGCCACAGCGCCACTTCCAGCTTTTTTCTTTTTTGCTTATGTGGTGCTGAGGAATCAAACCCAGGGCCTCAGGCATGCCAGGCAAGCGCTCTACCACTGAGCCACCTTCCCAGCCCTGTAACACTATTTCTTACACAATGACATTCCTGTATATTAAGACAAAATTTTTAATCATCAGGTTACTATCAGTTTTCTAGAATGCTGTTGTGGTCAGTCTTACAGAGAAAAGTTATTAGCTGTGTTTACTTGGAACTTCTAGATGCTTCTCAAGTATGTTAGATTCGTTACCAAGTACTGTAACCATTATTGATTTACATGTTTAAGGTAAGACTGAAAACTTTGAGCCAGTTTACTTTCTACTTTAAAACAGAGTTCTTAGAAAGAGGCTGGTAGTAAGCACTTTCATAATATGAGTGAAACTTGAGTTCAATTTCCACCATGAGGAAGTGGCATTGTACCTCAAGTGGTAGAGCACTAGCCTTGAGCTGAAGAGCTGAGAGACAGCGCTCAGGCCCAGAGTTCAAGCCCCAGGACCGACCAAAAACAAAACCAAAAAATTCAAGAATTTCCAACATGAACAAAAAGGCAACAAACAAAACAACCAAAACCCTGCCAACAAACGTGTTGGCTTGTACACATTTGTTCCACTATCTTATCCAGAAAGCAGTGCTTAAAGTAAATGTAACAGGATAAAAAAAAGTCTTAGTATACAACAAATATCACAGCTATGTTAATATTTGTACAGAGTTTTTATTCTTTAAGTAGGTAAATATTTATAAAGTTTTCTCTATATGCTGAGGATATAGCAATGGAAAAGGCAAATAAAGTCCCTGGCTTTGTAAGTCTTACATTCTAAGTAGATAAGATAGACATCAAATCAATCATTATATGATAAATTGATTATAGTTGAGATAAGTATAGCAAAGAGAAATGTAAGGTGCTGAGTTAGGAAACAGGAGCCTAACAAATGTTTGCAAATGAATGTATATGTATGTGAGTGTGCATTTTTGCAAAGAGGATTAAATATTATTGCCAAGATATATTACATTTAAATAGAGACTAGAAAGATATAGAGGAAAATGAGAGAAAACTATATACACACAAACCCTATTTGTTATGAGAAAGAGCATATTATTAAGAATCTTAAAGAAGGCTCAGTAGGAGAGTACTGCCTTGCATGCTGAAGGCCCAGAAGTCTATCCTCTGAAAAGTATTGTAAAGATAATCTCAATTGCTGTTCCTTGTGAATGGCTTGGATTTCCTAATCTTGTTTTCCTGTCATATACTCTATTACATATACAGCATCTCTTGGCTCTGTATCTTCTTCTGTGGGACATGGGGGTTGGGGAACCAATGTAGATTGTGTTGCAATATAAGGAAGGCAAAAGTATCTGGATCATGTAACATCAAGGGAAAAAGTGTCAGATGACTGAGTTAACGAAGCAGGTAGGAGTTACAGTCCCAATACAAATTTTTCCTTGTACATAAATTTAAGTAAATTGTATAATCTGTTATTAAATTATTATTATTATTCTGTGTGTATTTTTCATCTTTGCCTCCTAGGAAGCTAAATATTAGAGTAAAATAAGCTTAATAACTGGTATGTAAAGTAAATGAGTTGTTTACTGTATTTCATTTTTAAACTATTTTTATTATCTTTAAATAGTTGTACAAAGGGCTTTCAACGTGTCAGTTTATCAGTACAGTGAGTCTTAATGCATTTCACCTCTTCCATCATTCTCCCCCCTCCTCATCTATGCCAACCCCACCCATCCCTTCAAGTTAATTTTCTAGTTCTATTTTCACATATGTACCTTTAGTATTATTGTGACTCTGTTTTATTATGACTATATATTCTATAGTGTTATGACTCTATATCTTTGTTCCTATCCATTGCTCTCTATTATTTTTTCTTTTGTATAGAAAAGTATGAATTTTATATTTTGATCTTGTGATTATCTAATCTTTAAAAAATATAAATAAAAACAATATTCCTCGAATTCTTTTAATTCTCAGAAAGTGATAGAAGAAATAATATATAAAAGCGGGAATACTTAGAAGCAGAAAAACAGTAAAAGTATTTATGAAGGTAGTTTTCTGAAACAAGATTGTACTACATAACCAGGGCCTAGAACCCAAGACACTATATCTCAGGCTGTCCTCAAATTTCTTTTCTCCCTGCTCCACTTCCAAAATGCTGGAATCACAAGCATATTTCACTATACCCAGATTTCAAAAGAGTTTAAACTTCAACAAAAACCCTTATTTGAATGGAGTGGGGTGGGATCAAGAGGAAGGAGTAGATGAATGAAAAGGGGAAGTGGGGGAGAATGCAGTAGAGAATTCAGTGTGTATCCTACCAAATTAAAAAGAGTAAGAGAAGGGGGAGAGGGAAAGGAGGGATGGGTGAGATTGTTGAAAGGCGTGACATTGGTCAAGATGAATTGTATTCATAAACTGTTAAATGGCAACTCCTTTATACAATGACTTAAAGATAAAAAATTAACTTATTCAATGTTAAAAAGCTTTGAATACAATAGATTTTTTCTTTTGCTTTTTGTTTTTATTATTATTATAAATGTGATGTACAGAGGGGTTACAATTTTGTAAGTCAAATAAAGAGTACAATTCTTTTTGAACAATGTCATCTCTTCCTTTGCTCTATGCCAGTTTTTCTCTCCTGTCCTTACCCACAAGTTGTATAGCTCATTTTCAACATAGTGTCTAGAGAGTTCCACTGCTGCTTTTGTTTACCCTTTGCCCCTCCGTTTCTGTGCACAAAGAATGTGCACAGAATGTGCAAGCAGAATGATCACAAGATGTGTTGGGAGACAGTGCTCTATAGATCACATATATTCCTGACTATCTTGTGAGCAGAGGCAACCGGTTGCCTTCTTTTCAAGCATGTTTGTATGCTAGCCAGACTAAGAAGAAAGATCCATTCTGGATCAAATGGCAGGCTTGCCTCCGGTCCAGTGTAACTGAGATAATGTCTCCCTACAGTGCAAAGTCAGGGAGGGTTGTTGTTTCTTTGTGAATGACTTTAGTTTACTAAGCTTGTTCTTCTGTAAGTTTTCTTACTATTTACATGACATCTCCTGGCTTTTAATATGTCCTTCTGTGGGATTTGAGGCCTGGAGAACCCATGCAGATGATGATATTTTGGGCACTACTGTTGCTGTGAGCAACAAGCTTCTGTTTTGTCTCTGAACCAAAAGCCTTGTCATTTTTCCAGCAGCCATAAAATTAAAATGGTAAATATGGACATCCTTCACAATTTTCTGATGCAGATTCTGATATTTTATGCCTCTAAACAAATAAAACATCACTGACGGTTTTCACGTGCTTATGATCCATCTTTTGTCTTGTAAAGTGTTACTTGTAAAATATTGACCAATTTTAATTGACTTGCTTGTGTTTTACTGTTCTATCTTGAGAGGTCTCTATATATTCTGGACTTTGTTAAATGTAAAATTTACAAATATTTTTTTCTCCCTCCTCTGCAGGTTCTTTTTATATTCCATGTGTGTGTGTGTGTGTGTGTGTGTGTGTGTGAGAGAGAGAGAGAGAGAGGTGGGGGGGAGAGGGGGAGAGAGAGGAGAGAGAGAGGGGGAGAGAGGAGAGAGAGAGAGAGAGAGAGAGAGAGAGAGAGAGAGAGAGAGAGAGGAGAGAGAGAGTCATGGGGCCTGAACTCCGCCTGGGCGCTGTCCCTCAGCTCTTCAGCTCAAGGCTAGCGCTCTACCACTTGAGCCACAGCGCCACTTCTGGCTTTTTCTGCTTATGTGGTGCTAAGAAATCGAACCCAGGGCCTCATGCATGCTAGAAAAGCACTCTACCACTGAGGCATCTTCCCAGCCTCTTTTTATCTTCCTTTTAACAATGTCTTCACTGAAGAAAAAAATTAGAATTTTGATAAATGTCAACTTCCCATTTTCTTCTGCTATGGTTTATATATTTGGTATCAAGTTGAAGAGCTCTTTGCCTAAAGGTCAAAAAAATTTTTGCTTTTGTGTACTTCTGAAAGTTTTATAATTTAATATTTTATATTAAGCATGATGGTCTATTATAAGTTGATTTTGGTTTAAGATGTGAACTTTAGTACAAAGTTTTCTTTTTTAAATGTGGATATCTAGTTGTTCTGACACCATTTGTTGAAAAGACACATCAGAAAGACACAAGTAAGGAATATTTTCCATTAAAGTGTCTTTGCATGTTTAAAATGTCAATTATCAACCAGGCATTGGTGTTTCATGCTTGTAATCATAAGCCTGCAGTTTGAAGCCAATCCAGGCAAGAAAATCTTTTAGTCTCTTATTTCTAATCACCAAAAATCCAGAAATGAAGTAGCTCAAGTGATAAAGCACAGGCCTTGAGCAAAAAGGCTCAGGAACAGTGTTCAGACTCTGAATTCAAGCATGATGACTTGCACATACAAAAAAGTCAATGGCCCCTATTTATTTGGACTATTTTACTGGACTCTCTAGTTGGATCATATCTGGATCATCAATCTAGATACATGTCTTAACTAGTTAATTGTATTGTAACAAAGTACCATAGACTTAATGGCTCATAAACAACATATATTCATTTCTCACAGTTCTAGGGACTGAAAGTCTGAGATTAGGGAACCTGCTTTATTTCTGGTTATTTTAGAAATGGAGTCTAGTGAATTTTATGTCTGGGCTGGCCTTGAACTGTGATGTTTCCATATCTCAGCTTCTTGAGTAAACTAGGATTATAGATATGAGCCACTAACATCTGGCTCATGGACAACTTACTTCTTCCTTTTCAGACTGTTTCTGTGCATTTGCATTTTTATATTCCCATATGATAGTAGACTTAATGCTATATTAAATTTAATTTTACTACCCAAGTGTATGCTAGGTGAGTGTTGCAGTGGAGAATAAGGGAGATGTGAGTATTGAGCATAGTGACTGAAATATGTTGCTTAGAGTTACAATAATAAATGTTCTATTTCTTATTTTTCATAGATACCCCATCACAGCGAGTACAGTTTATTCTTGGAACTGAGGATGACGATGAGGAACACATTCCTCATGACCTTTTTACAGAACTGGATGAGATTTGCTGGCGTGAAGGTGAGGATGCTGAGTGGCGAGAAACAGCCAGGTGAGGATTTGGGTTGAAGGGTGAAGGAATACTAACTATTTTTCATTTATTAGTAAAAGAAATTCCCAGTCCCATGATTTTGCAAACATCCATGCTTACTGCTGATTTTCATCTTGTTCATCTGGCCTGGGCAGATCCTATGATAGGAGATGGGTCAGAATGAAATCTGAAGGCAGTAATTATAAGTAAACAGTGACGCGGAGCCAGCAACAGCTGCGGTCTCACACAACAACTTAATTTATGTGTCATCAGCAAAACAATAGAAATCTACAAGTAATTTATTTCTGTCTTTTCAGCTGCTGGCTTACACCCCAATTGGCAATATTAATGTGGTAATTTGAGTGTGAGACTTTTTTAAATAAAGGGCAAATGTTAAGAGGCTTTAGGTGCAGTCCTTGATTTCATGTAATGGTGAGAATACAAATGTTTTATAATGTGTTTCTAGGGTATAAATGCATTTAAAAAGACTGTTTTTCCTCATGTCATTTCAAAAATTACTTTTTCTATCATTTGTAATTAATATTTGCATATTGCCCTGTAACTCATGAATTACTGTAAAAAAAGTAATCAACTCAACTTTCTGATTATTTTTCATTTGCTCTTGTTCATTTCCTCGTTTAATTAACTTTATTTATGGTCTATGGTAGATACAATGGATGTAGGAAAGGACACACAAAAGTCTGCCTCAGATTCTAATTTAGACAAGCCAGCCAAGTTGTAAATGTGGAATCATGAATGCTACCAGTATGCATGAATAACTGTGGGCACACCTAGGATTGTCACTTACCTAATGCTTCCCAAAATCTTATGTGAATATAAACTGCCTGGGGTCTTGTTAAAAATGAAGATTTTGTAAACCTTAGGCATAGACTCTCAGCTGATGCCCTGCAAGATGGTTTTGGTTTGAAAATCACACTTTTGATTAGCAGGTTAGCAGGTATCTTAACAACAAGGGTGAAGGAGGAGGACAGGATACATCTCCTGGGACAGGTGACTCCTGAGTTGACTCTTTTTTTTTTTTTTTGGTTGTGGGAATTAATCTCTGGGCCAGGGCACTATCCCTCAGCTCTTCAGCTCAAGGCTAGGGCTCTAGCACTTGAGCCACAGCGCCACTTCCTGTCTTCTGAGTGGTTTATTGGAGATAAGAGTCTCACGGACTTTCTTGCCCAGGCTAGCTTTGAACCATAATCCTCAGATCTCAGGCTCTTGAGTAGCTAGGATTACAGGCCTGAGCCAAGAGTGCCTGGCTCTGAGCTGACTCTTGAAGGTGGAATGGGAGTAAACTAGGCAGAAAAGTAGAGAGGTGATATACTAGGCAGAAGGAGTAGGGTATTCAGGAATAGATCACTGGTGCAGTGTTGGCTATTTTATTAGGTTTTCCTTTTTTTAAATTTAAATTCTAATTTTATTGTCAAGGGGTTACATTAGTAAGGTAGTGAGCACATTTCTTGTAGAACTTGTTACCCCCTCTCCCATTTTCTCCCACTTTTTCTCCCCCTCATCCCTGGCAAGTTGTACAGATCATTTGCATTGGCTCCCCCTTTGTCCTTTGCCTATTCTTTTGTTCCCCTTCCCTTCCCTAATTCAGATAAACACATATACAATAGGTTTTTGTGTCCATGGTAAGGCAGCACTAATTGTCAGAAATTTTATCTCCCAGACACATAGTGTTAGACATCTTCAGGTTGTAATAGCTTTCTTCCTTCCCCCCTTCTTTTCCTTCCCTCCCTTCTTCTCTATTCCCATGTCTCTCTCCCTCCCTATTTCTTCTTTTTTCTTTCCCCTCCCCCTCCCTACCTCCTACCATTCCATCTACCCTGCCCTATGTATTGAACTTAAGGACAGCACTCTGCTATATCCTTTTGCTTTTGGTTTGGTTTTCAGAAATGGTCTCCAGCTAACTTTGCCTGGACTGTCCTAAGACTCTGCTCCTTCTACTTCTTGAGGAGTTGGGAATATAGGCATGAACCAGGAGGCTTGACTGCAATAGTACTCCATTCAATCACATTAAACTTGTACTTACATGTACTTATTGCCTTAGCTCTATCCAACCAGGATTGGTGTGGGTTTAGGTGTTCTATAATGATATGAATATAATACTGGCTAGTTTGATATATTTTGAGTGATAAAGATATTTACTTGAAGTTCCCTTTTATTTAAAAATATTAAATGTAAATTAAAAATCTAAAATGTCTATCATCTACTTCATCCTTGTTAACATTTTAAAAATAAAGCTCATGATTGCCAGTGATTAAAATTCAGAAAACATATGGCGATAGAAAAGCCACAGTATCCTCTACTTTAACTCATAGTACTTCCTCTTGAGCTTTTCCCTATTAACAACTTCTTTGAATTTTTTAAAGAATTTGATATTAAGACCTACAAATAAATATGTGCTCTTTTTCTTTTTACACAAGAGATTATATAATATATGGTGTTCATGAATTTTGTTTTCATGGGCCACCACCAATGAGAGAGAATCCCACACATCCATTTCAGGGGACCATGCAGAGGCAAGCAGGCACAGGAGAGAGATTATTATAAGGTTATTTGAGGGGCCATATTTCCCCCAAGAGGGAGCACATGGCCTCCGTCACTATCCAGGTAGCAGGAGTGTCTGGGGAATAGGAAGTGAGGTAGATGGGAGTTCAGGTGAGTCTGGGCAGAGAGAGGGAGGGGCCAGCTGTATGGCAGAACTCTGGGGCAGGGAGAAGCTCCAGGTTTGGGTGGATCTGAGGATCAAAGGTGAGCATAATACTAACAATACTTCCTCTTGAGCTTTTCCCTATTAACAACTTCTTTGACATTTTTAAAGAATTTGATACTAAGACCTACAAATAAATATGTGCTCCTTTTCTTTTTATACAAGAGAGATTATATAATATACAGTGTTCATGAATTATGTTTTCATGTTCTATCTTTATAGAAATTTCTGTATCAGCTATAACAATTTGTGCAACCTTTAGAATTTCAATTTTGCATTTAGTTAAATGAATCAACCTTTACTTAGTCTTGTGAGAGACTTTCTCTATTTTGCCAACCTTGAGAGGTATTTAGGTTGAAATTTCCATAAAAATTATTTTAGTGATTATTTACACAACATGCTGGCAATATTTGCAAGTATTTATGGAGGATACAATTTTAACAGTGTAGTTTTACATACCATACACAGCAGACCTTCTTTTAGTATGGTAGATATTGCAAAATGGTCACCATGTTTCAGTTATTTATACTTTCACCAGCAGTTTATGAGTGCCGATTTTCCCCATATCCTTGATGTACTAAATTGCTAGCTAAATCATGCTATTTTTTATTTTATAGATGAAACATAAATATCATCATCATTTATCTCTTTTTAAATGATTAGTAGTGTTTGACATCTTTACATGAGTCTAATTTTCTTTGTGAATGTTTATGTCTTAGATTTGTTTCATGTTGTCATTATTTTCTTTATTTGCCTTTTTGAACACTTTAGAAATATGGCAGGGTAGTTTGTTATTACTGCTTTTAATAAAATGTTACATAAGTTATTGGATTTTACTTGTTATATTTATATTGAAATATTTTAAGTTCAGAAATGAATTTAAGATAGTTTACACATAACTTGATCGACTTAGTTGACAATACAGAGGTTTGAATGCAAGACGTTGCACTCAGCAGTTGTTTCGCCACTTGAACCATACTTCCAGCTTCTTCTTTTTCTTTTGCTGCTGGTTATATTTTGAGATAGGGTCTTCCTTTTCATCTGGACAGGTTTGGACTTCAATCTTCCTGTTACACTTCCTGATGTAGTTGGAATGACAAGGACATGGTTCCAAGCTCAGCTTTACTGTTGAGATGGGGGCCTCCAAAAACTTGGGCTCACCTTGGTCCTACGTCCTAGGTAGGTAGGATAACAGGCCTGAGCCACTGTGCCTGGTTTGTAACTTGGTTAATTTTAAGTTGAATCATGTTCTATCTTATTTTTGTTCAACTGCATCAAAAACTACACAGGAGTTTCAAAAACACACAATATACATACTCAGCATTATTTAGCAACAGGAAAGTAATGAATGATCATCACCACAATTTAGTGTTGTGATACCTGATGTTTAATCATCATAAAGTTGTTGATAAGGAAGTTCTTTGTTTAAGGTTACAAGCATCTGCCCTCCATTGGTTGCAGGAAACAATATTTTTGGAACACATTGAAGGGAGTCTCTTTATTTATTGCTAGAAGTATATTTTGAAAGCATGTCCTTCAGAATCTTCTTTTTAATTTGTATCTTTCATAAAAAAAACTAGGAAGTAAGATTGGAACATATATTTTGGCATGAATTACTTAGACTTAGAATAGTTTGGTAATTTGGGCAGTATCCATTAGCTGTTTGCTCAAGGCTGGTATTCTGCTACTTGAGCCAAGGCTCCACTTCAAGCTTTTGGCTGGTTGGTTGGCAATAAGATTCTCACAGAAGTATCCTTCTTGAGCTAGCTTCGAACAGTGATCCTCAGATCTCAGGCTCCAGAATAAGGAGGATTACAGACATGAACTACCACTGCCTAGCATCTATTCCTTGAATCAGAAACTTCTTGTAACTTTCCCATCTCATGAGAGAGGGAGATAACAGAGGCAACACTAGAACCTGGTTCTGTCCTCTGTCACAGCTGAGGAGCTAGGATTTTTATCAGGCTCTCATAGATTACCTTTAGTAATGTACTTGTCTTAAGTCACCGGAGTATATTACTGTTTATTTGTAAGGAATAAAAGAGACAATCTAGTTAATCTAGTTAGCGTCCTCTATTAATACTAGATAGGATGTGTTTGTAGCTATGTTTTTGGAACCTTATGCATGGCACAGCTGTTTGAGGTTCAGGGAGACATCTGATGAGCAATCAAAATAGTAACAGACATTGAAGAGGAGGGTAGATGAATTTTGGCTGAGATACAATACTTCAGGGAAAAAAATGAATATATTTATTGAGGACTTAGAAATGTAGTTGGTCTTAAAGTGATGGAAGTA